TTATACGCCTAAAAATTTAGTCAAAATGTAGAACTTTTTATGGAGAATTTGGTTTTGTAAAAAAAGTGAAGCAAAATAAAAAGAGGGCGAAGATAAACGCGGTAATAGATGCCGAATATATAATTAGTTTAAAAAGATTGGAAAATATATTTACAAATTCGTTACTCTGGCTTTCAAAACGTATTATTCGCCTATTTTCCTTGTATTTACGATTTCACTTCCTAATTTTATTGTACAGTTTCATATGCGGAATCTAGCTACCTAATTTTAATGAACATAGCCGCACATAAAAGCAATGATATAGCAGTGTGAAATTACCCGTCGAATTCGACTGAATATAATCACGGCGCTGTGGGAGAAATCCAAACTCCCGATTATTTCTACAAAAAAAATTGGAAATTTCAATTTTTCCTTCAAGAAACAGGAAGCTCAAATTTCAACATTCCTAGGATTAAAGGGATATATATGAATAGCAATCACAAATCAAAACACAATACAGCATGTCCAATAAAGACAAAAAGTGTGAAATTTGTAGAGATATTTTGATACTTATTGAGAGAGAAAACATGGCTAACAAGGAATTTCAAGACAAACTGGAAAAGCTATCATCCTATTTCTTCGACCCTGAAAATCCAGACCCGCGAAAAAGCATACATTGTTTAACATGTGGCTTCCAACACTGTGCGCACTTCCAATGCAACGCATTTCTTAACGAAGAAAAAGCGCAAAAATCTGGCGACAAAGAATTTGTATGATGTGAACATCTCGAATGCAAGATTCTGCGTTTCCGTGTTCGATTTTGGATAAAATGCATAAAAGATATGGAAACAATTGAAATGACAAGTGAAGAACCCGTACAACTTGATTCAATGTAGGTACAAATCTTCCACTTACAATCTAGAATTTTTTTACAATCTTTTTTTTCCTTTCAAAAATAAGGATCGATTTTCCTGAAAAAGAAAGTGGAAAGATGAAAGCTTTCACAGGAAAAGATGAAGATGTGCTCTTCCTCACCGTATATGTTATGAAAAAAAGAAAGCAAATACACAAATGAAGAATTGGCGAGTATGGAATCACTTCCACAAGATGCCGATGAAGAAATTGGGCATCTTACCCTATATGGTGAGCATGATTTTGTACCACACAAAGCCCGAGTAGAATGTTTGGCAAGTCAAGGCTTCAAAATCACACAGGCAGAGCAAAGTTTCATTATGAAAGCATGCGGGTGCAATTGGGAAGTTGAAAGATTTGAAGAATTCTTCGAAAATGAATAAACGGACTGTTTTTTTCGCAGATCACCTTGACGATGAGGGATATGCACTTTACCTTTTTCCCTTAAAAAATCGTTAGAAAAAATCCTTTTTTTAGAGACATACTCAACGCTTAAAATCATATTACATCGATCGAAAACTGGTATGGGTAGAAATTACAGACAAATCGAAACACATAATAATGAATGAATTCAATTTTTTTTCTAATACCCTTATGCTCAGCGAAGAACCCGTTGAGTATCCATTATATTATTATCTCCGAAATCCTAGATCCTGATAAACAACAAAACCGGATAGAAAATCACCGACGAAATCTTCTTCATTCTGGTTTCGATTTGTCAATGGACACAAAATCAAGCATTATGTTTGACTGCTTTGCACAAAAAACTGCTTTGAACGATTAACTGCTTTGCACGTATTGTACTCATTATTCAAATGATTTTTTGTAATAACATTTTTTATTCTTAAAATAAAGTCATTCTTTTGTTAAAAGCTGTTACTGATTCGTCAATAGCTGTTACAACATTTCAAATCTTAATAACTAAACTAATAAAAGCTGTCACGGATGTGTGTTTTTCTCATTTCAACTCAAATTCACGTGTTACTGCTCAATTGTTAATTATTTATTTTTTAAAACTACCTTCGTCAACCGCGACACTTCCTTTTTTTCACACTGATCTCATTTTTTGAACAATCTGGACGGTTAATGTTACGGTACCCCCGTCCGTAGAGCATGATTTCTTGCGTAAACAGGATGTGACGTCACTTTTTGTAATACTAAAATATAATAAAAGTGTGCTGGTTCACGCTCCCCCCCCCAAAAAAAAAAAAAAATCACATCTACTACTCATAGTCGTGGCAGAAGTTTTGTGAGGTTTGGGACTTCTGGTCTGGAAGAAGAGTTCATTGGGGCTAATGATGGCCAATCAAATTCCCCAACAGGCAAAGCAGTTCTTGACGTATTTTCCTCATTTGTTAGAGGTAAGTTGTTTCTAATTTTTTTGTGGGGAGTTCTTTTTTCGGAAACAATGTAAATGAGTTTCATAATTGTTGATGCAGTCAAACATAGTGTATATCATCTCAAATCCAGCGCCGATGGACAATTCCCATTTTAGTCTGACTGAATTTTAGGCTAAATAGGGAAAATTAATCAGTACTGAGGAAAGAGTATCTGCAAAATTTGGATGTGAAATAATGTAAATGTAAAATTCCACTGTAATCATAGAAACTTTGACAGTGTAACTCAGGCTTATCAATGTCATTTGATTGGCAAGTAAAAAGTATGTTTAAAGTTTCTTATTCTGGAATTAATTTGTCTTTTATAGAGAGCAAAGAGGCAGACAGCAAAAGGGCTGCTGTGGGCAAAGAAGAACCTCCATTACCATCCATACCACCTCCTGCTACATTTATTCCCTGCCATGTTAGCCCTAATCCTTCTGCCACTTTTACTCCTCATGTCACTTCTTTATCTTTGGTCACCTCTCAACCTTCCTCTGGATCTTCTCCCATCACCTCTCAACATTCCTTATCTTCTTCAGTGGCTCCCACACCTTCTTCTTTATCTTCTTTGGCCACTCCTAGTCCTCCTTCCTTAACTTCTTCTCTGACTTCCATACCTTTGGTCTCTCCTAGTTCTTCCTTATCTTCTTCGGTGACTCCCAGACCTTCTTCTTTATCTTCTTCGGTCACTCCTAGTCCTCCTTCCTTATCTTCTTCAGTCACTTCTGGGCCTTTTTCCTCGTTGACTAGATCTACTTCCTGTCTAACATCCTCCTCTTCTAGTCTTTTATCCTCACCTGCCACAGGGCCCACCCCAACAGGTTGTGTTTCATCGAATACAACGATCAAGTTACCTTCAGGTACCGCATGTACCGTACTTGTATTGTATCGTACAAATGATCACTTTTTGTAAAGCTTTTTTCCTGAATCTCGCTATTGTGTCTGAGAAGGAGTTGTTCAATGTTCATGATACCCGGTCTATACTAATTTATTACCTTTACTAGACGCTGTTGTTGTGGTTGACAACGGGAGGTGTGTTGGTGTTGGCAAATCCGTACCTCTCACAAGTGTACATGGCCAGACAATTCCTGATACCCATAAGTGCATTTTGTTGACCTGGGCTCAGGATAATTACCTCGCACCATTCCCATGTGGAAACAAGGATCTAAAGGAGAACGTATATTTTTCAAAAGATTGTTTTTATGCTGTACCATGTACAATGCTGAGACAGCTTATTCAAAAAAATAACCAATTTTCTCTCTCTCCAATTAATTAAAATAAACCCGAAGCCTTCCTCGTCATAAACCTTGATCGGATAAATCTTGACTAAGACCCTGTTTATATGATAGGCGAGACGGGACGATTGCCAGGACAGAATTTTTTCATCCTGCGTTTACATTATTGTTCAATACGGCGTCATCCCTCCCATCTCGCCTCTCATATAAAGAGGGCCTTTTTATCATGATGCAGCGAGTTATCCCGGCTAGGCGAGGTGAAAACTAGAACTAATCATGTTAAGTCTTTGATGTGACGCGCTTTTTACCTCGCCTAGCTGTGATAACTCGCTCCATGTAAACATGTTCTAAAATTAAAACTGTGCAAATAGCATTAATATTGGTTAGAACATTCATTATTGTTATTTATGCGAGAAGATGTTCATGTTTACTACTTCACGGGTTTCTGTACGTTTCAAACATAATGAATTGTGATGAACGTTCATGCTTGTTTTCGATCATATCTGTATAGGCTCGTATCTTGGAGGCTTAAAACCCTATCACTTTTTAGTGTACTAATAAGCTCAGCAACTGTCGTAATAGCTCTCTATCTTCCTGCTACTTGATATCGTGATTCTTTCCTTAAAAATGTGCTACAGTGCTTGCACTCATTGAGTGAATGTGACGGATTAATACGATATAGTTATTACCACAACATCTGAAACATCCGTCAAACGTCCTACTTATTCCTACAGGGTGTATAAAAAAAACTACAACACTTAATATTCATATATGTTCGCTTCTAGTCAATAACAAAAGATCGTAGGCCCCTTGGAATTATTATGCAGTTTTTTTACACATCCTGTATATTCTAACCCTAACACTAAGCCAGTGGCATAATTGGGTATGCTAGGGTGCCGTTGACGCACCCTCAATCTTTAGTAGCTACCAGAACGACACCAAAATTGTAACCACAAAGTGCCAAACTCTCGTGAACCTTTTCAAATGATTGTGTAAGAAATTATAGAATCAACTTGTGACAAAGGGAATTTACGATCTACGATGTGGTTATGCTGCCAGGACTTTGACATAAACACACAACGGTATCGATTATCGGTATCGATTTTGTTATAGGGGTGTAGAATCACTGTATTTTGACGAGCATGTAGTGCCGAAGACAAACGTTCTAGATGGATTTATTGCATGAAATTGCCAATTCAAGTATTATTCTAAAATTTCAGAGCAATCGAGTTAATAGAAGTATGTGATGTGTGATATCGGTATTGATTTTGTTATAGGGGTGTAGAATCACTGTATTTTGACGAGCATGTAGTGCCGAAGACAAACTTCTAGATGGATTTATTGCATGAAACTTTGCACACTTGATTAATTTGCCAATTCAAGTATTATTCTAAAATTTCAGAGCAATCGAGTTAATAGAAGTATGTGATGTGTGATATCGGTATCGATTTTGTTATAGGGGTGTAGAATCACTGTATTTTGACGAGCATGTAGTGCCGAAGACAAACTTCTAGATGGATTTATTGCATGAAACTTCAGTTCCAATTCAGGTATTATTTTGATGTTAGCATAATTATTGCTGACAGAGTTTTACAAGGATTGTTTATATTATTGAAAGCGTTTTATCTCATCCCATCCTATGCATAGATTCATAAATACGAGAAAATAACACCAAGGCTTCCAGTCCCCCGACATGATGTCGTATTAGCTGCTCTTTGGCAGGGGTATCATGGGTTGCCACCCACTCACTGTCGCTGGATTTAGGTGTATCTTATGCTAAATTTATATTAGTTCAGGATCGATTTCAACAATTTCCTCGTTTTCTTCACTTGCGGCAATCTCCTCATCGTCCTCATCATCTTCTTCCTCGCTATCAATATACCCATCGAGGTCCAACATCCCGTCAAGCGTTTTTTTAAAAACAGCAATCGCTTCTCTTATCATTTTCTTGCAGAAAAACATCCCAGATTTAATTAAAGCTGCTTCACCAGCCATCGCAAGGCGACTGCAACGCAAAGCTCTGTATTTTCCCTATATACACATGTCACAGTTAAAATGGTTAGTGCAATCAAGGTAAAAATACAAATGACATAATTATCTAAGCTAGACTATTTGATATTTTTAAATTTATATACCACTAGCTTGTTCAGGGCGTATACCTGTTCTGATTGTCGAATATCCTCGTCAACATCCTCATCAAGCAAGTCGTCTAAACCCGGTAAGAAAAGATAATTATTTTTGAAACTGATATTATAAAGTCACCATTTAAATATTATCATGACTGGTCACCACTTTTAATTCTTTATTGAAAAAACCTCGAGTGTCAATGTCAGACCTACCGTCGCTCCTCCCTAAAAATTACTTGATAGTAATTACTAAAAATGACGTTTACGTACTTAGGTATTATTTTATCTACCAACCATTAATAATGGAACGTAATCGAGTATCAAGACTTGGCAAAATGTTGTCTTTGTAGTAACACAAAAATTTGTACATTTCATCTTCCAAAAGACCCAGTTCTTCTTTTAGTCGAATGCCATTAAGGTACACTTCAACAGGTTTTCTTTTAAGCGTAAAGATAGCGCCGCTAAATCGTGTGAGAAACATAATTTTACCGAAATATGAGCACTATAAATATAAACATACAGTTCTTCGCAACAAACAGTTTTTCTCTAAATGTTCGCATATAACTGATTTACAATACAGTCCCAAATTGGAGTTGCAATTACCTGATACCAATTATAATGTATGTAGGTATGTATGTTTGTATGTATGTACAGTACCTCTGTTGTCTTGTGGGTCAATCCAAGAAAAATTACCATCCAAAGCAGTCTCAGATGTGATATCATCTTCTTCAGGACCAGTTTCTAACAACCGATTTACCACATTATATTGCGTGATGGAATCGCTAAGTTTTTTCTTTTCCAGAGCATTTTTGCTACGCAATCTTTGCTACGCAATCTACGCCCTTTGTTTCGACGAATCTGAAACATTCCAACAGTATATTAAATTCAATTTAAAACATTTACATTATTAACTACGACCACAGTTTAAAGTTTCTGTTATTAAAGTTCCTGTTAAAATAAATGTATACTTAAACCTGCTAGGCGGCTAATATTTTTCTTTCGCTGTGAAATAGAAAAGCATAACATTTCAATCTCTTCGCGAATATAAATTCTTTTTCTGACAGCCAAAAGATTTTATCGGGAATTGTTTCCCCCGATCAATAATCACTCGCAGATTCTGGTTTTCTTTTAAAAGTTTTTATTCGCAATATCTACTCTCCGCGCTGTCTCACACCACTCTGCCCTCACTCTCCTCTCACTCCCATACTTATCTTGTCAATCAGCTGTTATTTTACCTTGTTCACATTACTCGCACATATTTCGCAATGTCTCCTATAAATGTTCTGCAATTAAAAGTTCAATTAACGCTAATGTATATATATATATAGTCACTAAATGATGAATAGCTGTCAACTTCCCAACAATTTTTCCCCTCTTGCAGGGCTTGTTGCTTCCCTAACTCATTTCCAACTATACATAGAGTCGATTCAAGGTTTCTTAATTTCTTTTCTTTCTTATCCATTTCCTGATGTTTTGCCAAGGCTTGAGCATACAATCCTGAATTCCCGTCGTTTATTTCTGTTTCAGCTTCATCACCAGCAACATCGAGGAACGGCTTCAAAGCGATAGCTTCGCGCACTTCGGTATACAGCTCATAGTAAGAAACAAGATCACCTTCACGCTTCGTCATCTCAAACTTCGACCCTGGAAACACAAATGTAAGTACAGGTAACTATAGTTAGTCTATAGCCCTAATTTTACGGGATAAAATTTCAAGCGAAAGGCGAAATATTTTGCCTGCTTCTCTTGAATTGTGAGCAATGAAGCAGAGTTAATTTTTTCAAGTGGTCGAAATTCAAAAGAAACAGGCGAAATATTTCGCATTTCGCGGAGAATTAGGCCCCGTGGAATTAGGCCCTATAACCGGCATTGTAGAGCATGTACACGCTACTGTCTGTATAGTAGTTTGCGAGTTTTAAACATTCCACCTGATACACCTCACGCGTTTGAATCAAGCAAGTTGAAATAAATAAAATGCGTATAATTACGTACGTTCCCACACGCTGTTATTTCAGCAGCCCAATTACCGAACTCTTCACGATACGCTGAAAGATTTAGCTCGTTTACCAGCTCATCAAGTTCCTTCTTATTTTCTTCTATTAACTTCTTTACCTGTCACAAGAGAATTGAATTATAAATATCAAAAGTCTATTTTTAGTTTACTGAGAAAAACTATTGAATAATAAAATTTACGAATAAACAAACATACATAAACATATTTTTTGCAAAGAGTGATTGGCAGCTTAAGAATCTTTAACTTGTTCCAGTGAAGAACATGCTCCGTTAGTGCTTCATTGCGACCTGTCGTATATAAATGAAAAAGCTTAATCCGTCAATGGCAAATGTAAGTCTTCAGAAATTAAGAGGTAAGTAGTCTAATGTAACAAAGTGTTGAAAACGATGAAAAATATAACATTTAGACATTATAATCAATAAACCACAGCAAATTCACACGCAATCAATACATTTTACAGGAAACCTAAAAATTCGAACAGCTACGTACCTGCTGCATGCATGTATTTTGTTGTTGATCCCAATCTCGAGATGTAGCTGTTGATTTGCTCAACCTCTTCACCTGCAGTGTAACCACTTCCAATTTGCCAATGTCCACCCCAGGTGGTGTGCGACACAGACCATGTGGTCGAATTGCGCCAATCAGCGTTAGCTTCTGCAGAAGACAAAATCTTGAGCTTGCCACTAGGGAAAAAGTATCGCACAAAAAAGAGTCTTTTTACAGTACAAAACATTGTTAAATTAGAAATCTCTCTTTGGGAACGGAAGGATGTGACATTTTCATGCAATTATCCATATATACCGCCGGTAAGTTCATTTGTATAAATGTTTTATTCATGATTTATGCAAACGTGCGTTTGTTTATGTCTTGTGAGCTCGCTTTCGTAAGCTCTTCAAACTTTAAAAATTTTTCACTTATTCCTAATGGTTAAAGCTTTATATATGAATAATTCAACAGAGAAAGACATATATAATAAATCAAAATATTACGGAGTACCAGGGGGTACCTCGTCGCGTTTAGTGTATATTCGCGTTTCTTTTCACCCTAGTTTTAATGCCTGGGAGGGACTTTAAGTAATCACAGCCACTTAAAATGCACATTTCCTGAAATCTTTCCAGAGAAAATGGGCAATACTTGAAGTTCATTGATGGCCCAAGATCCTCTGATGTGATTAACGTACCAGTACCATCAGAGGAAATTTTATATATCACCTAGCAACAAAAATGGAAAAAATATATCATTACCACTGACATTATTTATACTAGCTGGTATACATATCATAAACTTCACACTGTACACAGTACTCTGGTTTGCAATATTGAAACAGTTTAGTTATATTTAACAGCCCAATATTCCAACAATCTTGTGTCTTCATTAGGATTGATCTGAGTACTAAGTACTAAAACAATTAAATATCCTATAAAGAAAGAGCAAGGTTGCCATGCATGTAGCAATATTAAGCAAAAAATAAAATTGCTACTTTCATACATGTTACAATGTCCTAAAAAGTTATCATGTTAAATTCACTTCTACCTCACTACAGCCATACACAAGCAAATCTGAATCTTCACTACATGCAAAATCAGCATAACCATTTTGCAGCATGAAGGTGATCTGAGCATCAGCTTCAAAGGGGGCAATGATATAGGTAATTTTTCTCCTTCAACACTCCTTAAATAATAAAATGAAACAGATTATAACAAATGAATGAGTAAATGTTTAGAGTATGCTCAAGGGTGTGTCATAAATGACAGATTTAAACAGCTATGGTCCAGTTAATAGTCAATTAATATATTGGAGTGAGATTTCAACATTTCATAGAAGTTTCTTGTCATGCCAGGTATTAATGCTGTGTATAAATGTCAGGTATTAAATAATTATAGCAGGTATACTTCAATGGTGACAGGTATTCATGCCAGGTATTCATACAAGAACCGCTTAAAAAATCTCTGCACTAGAAAACCTCGAAATTCCCCCTGGCCCTCCTGAACTTACATTAATAAGCCCAGATATCAAATCTTGCCCAACAGAAACACCCATCTTAAAATGCTTCCTGGCTTCATTGTGTAAACCTCTGTTCCATAGCTCTAGTCCGATACGAAGATTTTCGTTGCGAACTCTAAAAATATATTCGATAAATTAGGGTATACAATATAGAGTATATAAAACCTAGTCTCCAGAGTCACAAGTCGTATTTCCACATAATGTACTGTGATTTTTACCTTTCTCTTTCTGTATTTACAACTTTCAGAGGAAATTTTCTTCCGTCGAACACGAGTAGTGGCGTTATATTATGGTCATTCAATATATTTACAAATAATAAACAGGAGTTGATACATCTGCAAGTTGAAAATCAAAACATACATTTATCGAGGATGGCATTTCATACTCAATTTACATAAATTTACATTTATAACGGATTATTTACCTGGTTAAATCTCCTCTTTTAAGCGCAATGTCTTCACAGTGAATACTGATAGATTTGTGAAGCCAGCAGTGAATATCAACCGCAGCGACTTTCCCATAAAACTCTTGAAGATGAATTTTCTTTGATGTTAAAATCGGTAAAAGCCCAGAAATACCCATACCGGTATCTATTTTGTCTTGTCATGTGTTCGTGTCAACGATCAAATGCGTTCTAATGAATTTTTTTTATTTGACCCGATATGCTTTGCGGTCTGTGTCGCACACCACCTGTGTCCACCCCATGTGACCTGAAAGGTATGAACATTATAAGTATGCAATTTGAATGATTCTCCTAATTAAAATTGGTTAACATTTGTTTTATTAAAATACCTGGCAAGACCAAACATGAGCTTTACCATGCATGATAGATAATGCTGGTGCCATCAAAAAGGCTTCATCAGGTGACAAATCTTTGGGAAGCGAAATAAACCAAGGCCAGTACTTACAAATCACATCTTGCCATAAGAACTTAACTTTATGGTGAATTAGTCGGTTGATTTGCAAATAATGTGTGTATCCATACAGTTCACCTTGATGCATATTCACAGCAGATTGAGCCAGAGAATGTCTACAGCCTGCTACAACAAGACCAGTTTCATCAAGTTTGGATTGGCGGTTGACCGTATTCCTTGCAGCTTTCCAATGAGAGGAACCACAATAGGAATTACTTGAATGACCCTAGGAGGATTGAATATGATTTATAAGTATAACTCTTATGCAGTTTTGGTATATTATTATTGTACACAAAACTGTTATCATTGCACAATTCTCCATAATTCCTCACAATCATGATCATACCTTAGCTGAGTTGTTGGAATAAACATTGTTCAAGTGCTCCTCTACCAGTTCATCATCTTCAATGAATGTATTTTCATAGTAGCATTTTCTTTCACCTCTATAAACAAATTACATAAATCATGGACATTTGGTCAGTATGATTTTAGCCAGGCAACAACACAATACCTTGGCACACTGTTGTATCTATAAAGTTTAGCGTTTCCATCAACATGACACGAATGTTGGGATCTAAAACATGATGGGCAATTTGCCCATTGTTTTTCTTGTAAGATGTCAACTTCATGCATGGCAAAACACCATTCTTTGAATGCACGATGAAACACTGATGTGTTGATGATACCTGACTAAAAATTGATCAAGAAGATTATGCACAGTTTTAGACCACTACAGGTACAAAATTTGATTGATCTATGTACAGTGACCTAAGTATGATTTACTAACCCTGCCCTTTTCACTAGATATGGCGGCCAAGGACCTAAGAAATGCTGTCTCAGATGTGCCTGGCATATACTTTCGCAGTGAATCCCAAACTCTGAACACATCTTCACAGAAGATGTAATTAAGATTCTTTGGGCCACCTGGCCAATACCCTTCATTAATTATCTTCTCCAGTGTTAATGGTGAGAACTGTTGATCACATCCAGTGCAACTGTATGTGAATAAATACAAATCAAATCTTCCTGCAAGAAAACATTGAAAATCAAGATAAGCTGATAGTAACTACAATTTTAGAGCACATGATGTAGTGCACACCACTGTACAACACAGCTCAACTCGTACCTTTGGCTGTTATAAGAATGCACATTTCATTAGAGGGGATGATAGAAAGTGTATCCTGGCCCTTGCAATAAATACATTCTTTGCAAAATAAAAATGGAGCATATCTTCCTGTAAAAAATGTAATAATCAGTCTATTTTATACAGTATAAGATTACTGAACCAGTACTTGTAGTTTACCTGAAATGATTGTATAAAAAATAAATGCATGCATAGCAATATTTATAATTGATATATTTCACAGTCTCTGGAACAAGATTATCAAGAATATAGTCAGCATCTGAACAAACCAATGATAATTTTTGAATTAATAAATTTACAATAATCACTTACTGTTGAAGCCTGGAGATCCATCTGGCAGGACTGTTTCAGTTGGAGGAACTGCTTGATAAAATCCATTTATCCAAATATCACGGTCATGCAAAGGTTTTTTTTCATGAGCTGTCTCATCACAATTGTTACAGAGTAATGCATCTGGTCCACAGTGGCGACACCAAACAACAGCTCTGTCTTCTCTGCACAAGAAGCAAACAGCCCCAGTTTTAGGAATTGCTTGACTTTTTAAAACAGCAGCAAATATAGCGCTATATATATATATTGCGGATATTCTATAAATATTATGAATAATTTACCAGTGACACTACTAGTTTGGCCAGAGGTAGCTCGCTTTTTGCTTTTTTTGCGTTCAGCGACAGAGCGGTATTCTTTTACCACTGCTATCGTACGTGAGGAAGAAGTCGCTGTGCTTTGGGGTCTTTTTTTTCTCTATTGTACCGGTTAATTCGCGTAAGTTTTCTAAACTAGCCTCCAAGGAAAGCCGTTGTTGTGATGACTGCTTTGACGATTTAGCGCACTCTTCTTTGGCAGCCGCCATATTGTGTGATAATTTTAATTTTAATTTTACAACTTTATTGGATAACAATACCCAAGCGGCAAGAGTGCGAACGGGACCTTTAGACCCATGCGAGGCAACTCTCCCGTATTTAGCATGCAGCTACAGTATTACACAAAACACACACATCTAGACACATAAGCACGTTGCAATTGTTAAATTACGTAACAGACAAGTCCTGGTGACAGAAACAACTACGATGTAATGACCAAGTGCAAGTCATGTCAACCTCAAAACTAGAGATTAGCAAATTTAAGTAAGTTTTCGACAAAAATTTTTTGAACGAAGACAGACTGTGAAGATCACTAGGCAAGCCTACTCAGTTTACAAACACGATTCCAAAGGGGGACAATTCGGTTGAAATAGGAGGACTTGAAGGTGTTGGTTCTGCATGACGGAACTTTTAGTAGAAGCGAAGGGTTATCAGGGGCGGATTAGCGTTATGAGTGTCACCGGGCGATAGGCCAAAAGGGCCCACCTGATGATGTCATTGAAGGAAGACAATATTGGGATTTTTTTAATCGTTGTTGCACAATAAGCCTCGTTTTCGTGCAATATGAAGGCACAGCCACTAAGTTTCGAAATTGGTATATTTTACTTATTTACATAATGTGCGTTTATGTATGCTAAACTAAAGCCGCTTTTAGTAAATTATGTCACCTGAATATGATGACATCGACGGTCTATATTTATCTATAACATGAGTCAGCAAAATGTTCGGAATGTTTGCCATTGTTTGGTATGCATTGGGCTTGTGTAACACGAGTAAAAGTGCAACTTACGATACAATACTAGTTTAACTCTGTCCCGTACTTGCAAGACATAATTTCGGTTTTCCTGTAGTTCCAATCGAAATCGTGATTTTATTTTGTTGCTATTATTTCCAATAGGCTCGATCGCAAACAGGTTTTGAGACATTGCAAGCTTATAACAAGCACCCATAGCCAGGGCCCCCTTATCGTTTACAAGAGTGGGGGCCCACCGGGGCATCGCCCGGTAGCCCGGTGGGCTAATCCACCCCTGAGGGTTATTACAGTTACGAGTTCTACTATGACCAACGAATGACACATAACTTGAGACATCCAAATCATAAAATCCATACAACGCCTTGTAGAAGAAAATCAAGTCTTTTATTTCTCTATCGCACGCCAAGGGTATAAGGTGAAGGGAGAGCATCCGTTCTTTGTAGGGGATATCACCTATCTTCGTTCCCAGGATCCATCTTGTAGCTCTCCTCTGAACTCTCTCAAGTTTCTCCAGATTTGATTTACTTGTGTGGAGGGTTGGTGCCCAGACTTGCGTAGCATATGATAGTTGGGATTTGACAAGAGATAGGTATAGGGCACGTCGAATATCATGATTGGTTAGCAAGAGACATGTTCTTCTTAGTAGTCCAAGCATTTTGTTTGCCTTGTTAACAAGATTATTGACGTGAGTATTCCACAAAAGGTTACTGGTTACAGTGATTCCCAGATCAAGTTCACTGTCCACGTGTTTTAGTTCAGGTCCAAGATGGTAATTTTTTTGACACGGGGTTTTGCGGCGGGATATCGTTAAAACTTTACATTTGGATGTGTTAAATATTACCATATGCGCATCACGCGGACCAATCTCTGGGCTCTGGGTCCTACAAGTGTTTGAGGCTTGAACTATGTATTATGCAAGTATTATGCATTATGCATATTCTTACGGCATTTGACCAACATGATCTCATTCCAAAATTAAGCTTATATCTTAATTGTCAAAAGCCTCTCAAATTAAGGTATTGCCTTAATTTTTATCATGATAAACGCTGAACAGATTTCAGAGAGATATCGCTGTCGCATCTTTACCCATCCAAAATCTTCGCGCAATTTATACCCGGTATTATAATTTTACAAACATATACAAATTGTTTTGCGTTTTTTGTCATGAATATGGATGAGTGTGAAAGACAAACAGGTGAGAATTTGTACATGCTTCTTGTGGTTTTCAAAAGCTCTATGGTTAGTGCACTATTATTTAATCTTTTCAACATTTTAGAACTAGTTAGTGAAAGCCATATTGAATTATTGATATTGTGACATGTTTCCCCCGTGATTATTGCTTTAAATACTTTCCCCGCTATTGGGAACTATCTATTCTGCCGATAGACCTGCCAAACATATACAAAGTTTGAGTTTGACAGCTTTAAACATCCGTTTTATACGAAATTTTCCTGATTTTTAACATGGTAAATAAGCTCTCTTGGGAGGTTGTTAAAAGGTACAATTATAGAATACCCTGCCATTTCAAAGATAAGTTAGTGCTAACTCTGCATGGGTTAAATTTTAATGAAGAGTTTTTGTTTATGTGCTTCTTTCTGAACCACTGTACATTTTAAAAATTTAAAAAAATATGACTTATAGCAGTTAATTGGTTAATTCATTAAGTTGCATTGCACCCTGATGTATCCTACTTTGGGTTGGGATAAAACGCGGATCCGGAATGCGGAAACGGAATTGCGGAAACGGAATGCAGAATTGCGGAAACGGAATGCTGAATTGCGGAAACGGAATGCTGAATTGCGGAAACGGAATGCGGAATGCTGAATTGTGGAAACGGAATGCGGAATTGCGGATGCGGAAACGGAATGCAGAATTGCGGAAACGGAATGCGGAATTGCGGAAACGGAATGCGGAATTGCGGAATGCTAGAATGTTAAATTTAATTCCGAAGTCGGAAACTTTACAAACAACTGGACATTTTGCGTATATTTGCGCGAGGGACGTTGCATCTTTTTCACAATAATGCTGATTGGATAGTAATATATTGCCAGGCTTCAAATCCCTATGAGCTATGTTTCGTTCATGTAGGTAATCAAGGCCGGTCGCAATATCCTTGAAGCACACAGGCAAAATTTCGGCAAATGATCCGAAGTCAAATTCGCTGTCTACATAGTGACAGAAATCGTCGAGATTGCTTACAACTTTCTCGATCCCAAATGGAGTAAAGTCAAAGTTGATTGCAAAAGTTTATTGTGAGGTATAATATATTAACTAAAGTTCATGGTTCGCGAAACGCCCGTGATCTGGAGGTTGGGTGTCGCTATCAAGGTGTGTTTACAGGCGCTATTCGCGCAACATATGCTCATTAAACGTCATGTTATGCTAAACAGAGAATGTGAAACTAATTCACAATACAGTAAGAATTTTCCCTTACAAGACAGTCCGGAACTATGTGTTTCGTGAGGGTTTTTTATAAACATTTATTCCAGTTGCTTTTAAACATTTTTATTAGTTTGACGCCGCATTCCGTTTCCGCAATTCCGCATTCCGTTTCCGCAATTCCGCATTCCGTTTCTGCAATTCCGCATTCCGTTTTCGCAATTCCGGATCCGCGTTTTATCCCAACCCATCCTACTTTGGTATTTTACTCCATTGCCAGATGATTTTACCTATCAAGGGAAGAGCACTAGTGCTTAATGGGTTAATGTGCAAAGTTTCTTTAGTGTTAAAGTTGTTGTTTCAACATGCATAAGGTAAAGTTATGCACCTAATATTCATGTTGTTTCCATGTGCCACATCTCAGGAATAATGGCATGAATGTAAAAGAGCAAATTTCAAGTAGCTATAGTGTCATACAAACGTCTGTATGTAAATCAATTCCCTTGCTAAATTCACATTGATAGTTGCACAACTAATAAGGGAAACATAACTTCATATAAGCAAGTATAAAACTTTAATAAAAGCTTTAAAATAAAGACTTTGATACTTTAATAAAGCCATTATCATTCATTCAAATTATGCAC